TAAGAATTATATTACAAAGTTTTCACTGCTTCGCAAAAATAACATTGGGAAGTAATGTTATTTCAAATTACCGCAGAATTAAATCAGCCGAAAATCATATATATATATATATATATATATATATATATATATATATATATATATATATATATATATATATATATATATATATATATATATATATATGTATATATATATATATATATATATATATATATATATATATATATATATATATATTATATATATATATATATATATTTATTTATTTTCGATTTTTTATATTTTTTAATATTGACTGAAAAGTTGAATTCTTTCTTTTGAAATATATTTTGGTTTTATAAGTTCCCATTTAGTATTGTAATAAATAATATAAGCCGAACATTTTTTTTTTTTTAGCTTGTATCTAAGTGAAACAATTAACAATATTAACTTTAAATATAGGCACGTGCTAAATGGTATTTTATAAAAGGCTCATGGTAAAATCTCTATGCTGCAGCCAAGGTAGCAGCATGAACTTTTTCCTACCCCCATCTAATAATTAATTTCTTATGGTATTATCTTATCCGATTACCATCTTATTATATGATCTTAAGAAGATAAATTTTTAATTAAGAATATCAAGTGCTACTTAAAAGAAACAATTTTGATAATTCTAATTTGTTTTTGCCTTTCCAATTCATGTTTTTGAGTTACATAATCATACATTGTATGATTGTATCATAGCACTGTATTATATGTACACAGTCCTGTATTACAGGACTGTAGCAACAAAACATGGATTGGGTGGCTAGTAAAGCTTTCTATATGCACTAAGATAAAGCCCTGTAGAGGCTGCATGAATCTTTTTCTGTAAAGTCATACCTAGCATAATTAAAGAATTTGGACACAGTTTTAACAACTATTTCTACTTTTTTTGTGTGCGTAGTACTTTATATTAAAAATTATTTAATAGTTAGTCTTATTTGTTTTTTAGATATAGATCGTTTTAAATTATCATAGTTAAAAAGTAAGTAAAATACTTTGTATGTTTAAATATTCATTTTAACCTTAGAAAAGAAGTAAAATAATTTTTGAATAACTAGTTATCTAGTTCATATACAGAAAGAACATAGTACAAGGTACACAGTGAAATAACTCATTTTGATGTTAATATATAGTTTAAACAGTGGGAGAATAAAACCTCCACTTTGGTGAGAGAAAAGTGATCACAATTTCTTGAAGTGAGTCAAAATAAAGTTACTCGGTTTTAATACTTTGATCCGTTTGCAAAAATTAAAGAAAATAGAGCTAAGAGAAAATTTGTAATCAATAAGAGTAAAGAAGCATAAACATTTTGGTTTACCAATTAAACAATATATATATATATATATATATATATATATATATATATATATATATATATATATATATATATATATATATATATATATATATATATACATATATACATTTATTTCTGATGAGTTTTTGTTGATGAAACACAGTATTAAATGAAAAAAATTTTGTTAAGTGATTTTTTACTAATTTATAATTGCTCTGTTCTTTAAAGAACATTGAGCACTCTATTTTGTAGAACACATATTTTTAAAAATTGTTTAAATACATATATATATATATATATATATATATATATATATATATATATATATATATATATATATAAATATATATATATATATATATATATATATATATATATATATATATATATATATATATATATATATATATATATATATATATATATATATATATATAAATGAATCGATGAATGTAAAAAGGGCGGAAGTCACATATTTTGCAAAATTGACTTTTTTGCAAATTTGTATATTTAAATGATAGCTCTATCATTTTGTGTTAAAAAGGTGTAAGTCAAAATTTTTCTCTAGCCTGTACAGTGTTTTAAAGATTTGTTTTTTTTGTTAAAAGGGCTGAAGTCCTCCGAATTTCAGCCCTTTTAACAAAAAACAAGAAACTTTGCGTTATGGACAGCGGACCAAACGTAAACTTATTATGTCGTTTTGATTGTGCAACAGCGTGGTGAATAAAGTTAATTTATTACGTTTTATCATTTTGATTTAAGTTATTAACTGCTTTTTTAAATGGATGATAGTGTTAGTGAGTCCGATCATACAAATTATAAAAAAAAGATAAAAAACCAGTAATTGAGTTGACAGTACATAACAGAAGCGCAAAAAATTTTACCAAGCCATAAAGCAAGATGAGCAGGACGCTAGGGAAGAAAAAAGTATAAATGTTTGGTGCCTAGCAGTAGATTTAATGCAAAACATTTCACTGCTCAAAACACATGTGCAAGAGTTAATTTACCTAAGGCAGTTAACGGTTAGTGTATTTTCTATTCATGATAGAAAGGCTAGGAAGTCTCTAAATGAAACTTGCTCCTTTCTATTGCACTACCTGTCTACTTTATGTACAATGAACTTTACATTTATGCCAATAATTGCGGGATGCAAAATAAAAAACATTTCTTTTTAAACCTTTTTATAGCGCTTACTGATAATAAAAAGATTAAAAAGATCAATCAATTTTTTCCAATGAGAGGACACAACTTTTTGCCCTGTGACCGTGAGTTTTTGATTATAAAAAAAAAGTTAAGAAGGCATGACAGAGTGGACAGCGTTTAAGAAATTAAAAAAATTATATTAACAAGTAGTAATCAATATAAGTTTTTAGTGAGTAATGTAGAGAGTTCATCTCTAGTTAACGATGTTAAAAGTTGGTGGTCAGTCCACTATAAAAAAAACGTTACCTCAATTAAAACAATAGGTTAACCTAGAAACCAACAAACTTAGTTTGCAATAAGCAAATTTCACCGTTTTCAATACGATTGTGACAACATAGGTCAATGTAAAGCCGGTGAAATTATCAATTGCATTGTCAAACATATTTTTATGATGAGAAAAAATACTCAAAACAAAATGAACCTGCCAGAACAGCTTCTTTACCCAAACGGAAAAGTTCCTATAAAGTGTGCTAAATTGAATGACTTAAGAAAGTATATTCCACATGATCATATTGACTTATATAATGAACAACTGCAATGGCCTACAACAGATAGCAACGATGGAGAAGCAGAAGATGCTGGGGAAAATGATTGAGCATAGCCAATAAAATTTCTGTTGTAGACCTTTTTTTCCTTATAATTTTTGTTAAAATGTATAAACAACTCATAAATATACACTTTGTAAAGATTTATTGCAGTTTATGACATTATTTTATATAGCTTAAAATGAAAATCATAATAAAATAAGCAGTAATTATTTGTTGAATGTTAAAAGGGCTGAAGTCCACAGTGTTAATTGGTTTATTGTTTCTTTAAAAATAAATATAAAAAAATATATTTTTGCTTTTAAGATTAAAAACATTATCCCCTTCAAAAAAAAAATTGTTAAACCATTAACGAAAATTTACTGAGGAAGCAGTGCTGTTTCTTTTAGTTTCCCAAAAGTTTATATCGTTGGACTTCCGCCTTTTTAACATTCACCGATTCATATATATATATATATATATATATATATATATTATATATATATATATATATATATATATATATATATATATATATATATATATATATATATATATATATATATATATATATATATATATATATATATATATATATATATATATATATATATATATATGTATATATATTATATATATATATATATATATATATATATATATATATATATATATATATTAACTTATAAAAATTAAAGAAAACCACTTTTTATGGTACTAATAGTTTCATGCCTATAGGCAATCATCAGCCATGTAATACAAAACAAGAAACAAAAAAAAACAACCGTTAAAATATAAAGTTACAGTGGAGTGTGCTCCGTCGTCAAAGCAAAACAAAAACAAAAAGATAAGGAAAAACTACAAACGGCTGCCTAATCACCAGTATCGAATTTCGAATAGAGGAATTTGCTTTTATGTCTACATTTAGATACTAATTCATTCTTCTTATTTAATAAGTTATCATAGGTGTACGATATTATAAAATACTTTTCGTATAGACATAAGTTGCATCGTTTTATTGTGGGATTGTAAAATCTACAACGTTTTAAATTTTTCCATTTAATTGTCGGGTTTACTCCATTTTCTTTTAACTTCCATACTTCCTTAGACAACTCAGTATCGTTTTTATATCGTTTTAAACAGGCCATTAGTTGGTGATTAGGCAGCCGTTTTTAGTTTTTTCTTATCTTTTTGTTTTTGTTTTGTTTTGACGACGGAGCCACTCCACTGTAACTTTATATTTTAACGGTTTTTTTTGTTTCTTGTTTTGTATTACATGGCTGATGATTGCCTTTAGGCATGAAACTATTAGTACCATAAAAAGTGGTTTTCTTTATTTTTATAAATTAATATAATGCTCTATTAAATAATATAAACAAATCCTATTTATTTATTATTGAGCACTCTTATACGTACAAGAGTTTTTTGTATTTTATTGCAAATACAAAATATCATACAATATAGTATATATATATATATATATATATATATATATATATATATATATATATATATATATATATATATATATATATATATATATACATATATATATATACATATATATATATATATATATATATATATATATATATATATATATATATATATATAAATATATATATATATATATACATATATATATGTGTATATATCTATATGTATATATATATATATATATATATATATAAATATATATATATATATATATATATATATATATATATATATATATATATATATATATACATATATATATACATATATATATATATATATATATATATATATATATATATATATATAGTATATATATATATATATATATATATATATATATATATATATATATATATATATATATATATATATATATATATATATAATTATATATATATATATCTTAATAATATGAGCAAAATAACGTACAAAAAACAAAAGCAACATACCTGATAAGCAATTTATCCATGACTAAGGTAAAAATAAAGCAAAATTAAAAGTATATAAATTATAACTTAAATATAATAGCGTACCGTTATGGGTCTAAAAATAGAATTTTTTCCAGAAACGTATTGCACTTTGGGATCGACATTCGGACAAACATTGCACAGAAACAAAAGAATTTCTTAAAAAACGCTAGTAGTTGTGGGATTGATATTCGGACAAACAAACAATTTGACGTCACCATAACGTACGCTATTAAATATTAAAATAATTTTATTTATAAAATATAAATTATAGCAAGTGCAAAAATGAAAAAAATAGTTTTATTAGACAGAAGCGTGATCAGAAAAATATATACTAAATACGGATCTTAGTACTTTGGATTCGGACTTGAAATTCGGGTCAGGTTTTTATCATATTTAAAAACAACAACTTTCAATCAATGCAATAACAACTGAAGTTGTAAATAACAATATTTCAATTACTGATCAGAGTGTGAAAATAAATAAATATTTTTTTATAAGCCAAACTTATTTTAGTTTTAATTATTTTGCTTTTATTATTTTTGGTATTTTTATAATAATTTGTAAGAAGAATAAATATCAATATCTTATGATAAAAACTTCTACATTTTGTCACGAACAATCCACACGAACTAATGTCATTTTTTTTTTATCCTCACTTTTATTATTTCTATAAATTATCGTGCTTATTATAATTCACAATTTCACATAAAATACATCAAAAGCTATTTAATGGATTGCGTAACAAAAACAAACTCTATGCAGTTGGGAAGATTTGAATCAAGGGTTATAAAATTTTAAATTATTAAAAATTAATTAGGGCTATAAATCTTTCTTATCTTTTAACAAGAATTATTTTTTGTTTATTTTTACAGATAATATTAGTAGTTTCATAGAATAAGTATTAGTTAGTTGTTGTTTATTTTTTATAACAAATAATTTTCTAACGGGTTATGCCTAAGTCTTTGAACTTTTTTTATAGAGTCGTAAAAAAATATTGCTAGTTAGATAAAAAAATGAAACTATATGGTAATAAAAAGCATTCATTCTAGTATTTATTAATATATTTAACATATTGAATAGACGCCTCCATCAGCGATTTTTCTATGTTTTGTTTTAACACTCATCATTAGTCTTTGTAACAGATCTGGATCATTTTCTTTTATTTCATTTAATTTGCTCTTTATTCTTTGAATTAGTTGATATATGCTACGTGCTCTCCAACCATCACTGTATACCATCTGCCTTAAAATAGCCCAAAATGTTTCAATTGGTCTAGCCTGTGGAACATTTGGTGGATTAGTGCATTTTTGTACAAATTCTATAGAATTATCAATAAACCAATTTTCTGTTTTATTAGCATAATGAGCAGTTGCAAGATCTGGCTAAAACACAAATTATTATCTTTATGATGTTCTCTACCAAATGGTATGAGTCTTTTTTTCATACATTCTTTCACATATATATTGGATGTTATTCAATTCTTTGATCTTTGTATATAAGGTTCACAAAATCCATTTTAAGAAATGCAAATCCAAACCAACACCTTTTCTTCGGATTTTTTTTTCAACTTATATTTTACATTATCAGGGGCTAACAATTTATTATTTGTATAATATATATCATTTCCAGGTATATTTGAGTTTGATAGGTTAAAATATTTTTCGTCATCCATGAATATATCTTTTTCATGGAATACTTTATTAACTAATTTTCTCGAAGATGTTGCTGCTCTCTATTGTTGATCTTTTTCATACAAAGGTGCTTTTTGTTTTTTGTAGCATTTAATATCTGTTTTGAAATTAATAGTTCTTAAAATTGTGCTTTGGTTCACCTTAAAATATGAAGCTTAATACTTTTAACTAATACCAGTTAAATTATTTAGCATTTTAGTCAATCGTTATGCATAACCCGTTAGATATTAATAATAAACTAGCAGTCATGACCCGTAAAATACAATTCTTTAGGATATTGATGCACACTTTATCCGCGTGCTTACAGTTCATAAAAACTATTATCCGGTTTATAACGCAAGAAAATCTCAATCAAATGAAAACATCTAAATGATAACTTTTAATGTCCTAGATACGAAGATTAAACTTATTGATTGCGTAAACACTAACTTTAACATAAATGGCATTTGCGAGACACTTCTTGCAACGAAAAAACAATATTTTGAAATTTGTGAACGATTTTTTTTCTCTCGTTAGCGAAGTTGGTTCTGTGTCAAAATGCGAGGATCAAACTTTTGATTAATATCTTTACATATGTTGTCTATATACAATATCTATAAAACTTTATAAGTATTTGAATTTGTATTTAAAAAAATTTAAAAAAAATTAAAATAGTAGTTGCCAACAGTAGGACTCGAACCACGGCAGCTATGTTCCGAAGCCCAGCGCGCTAACCACTCGACTACGCTGGCCCATTAAGTAATGAAAATTTAAAATTATATAAAATTTGTTTTTAACGGATATAGATGCAAAAGATTAGAAATCAAGCTGAGGTTGACGAAATGCAGTTCTAAAGTGAAAATCAAAGTGTAGAACTTGATATATGTTTAAGCATGTTTTAACATTACATAACATGAAGTCTAGGAACGTACGATATAAGTTTCACGTTTGCTCACGTTTTCTTATAAAGCAAAGGTGAGACTCTTTCTCGTCACTACCTCGGACGCAATGGTTGCCAAGAGTATCGTGTCAAACAGGCTCGAAAGCGCACTACCATTAAGTTCAGTATTATTAAAGAGATAAAATAATAATACTAAATATATAAAAAAAACTTTTTTTAATAATAAACAATTTTTTGATGTTGTTGGCTGTTTGTTTTTTAATTAACTTGTCTTTAGATTCTTTAAAAAGTTGGAAATTTTCTTTTGGTTCAGTTTTTTCTTTACTTTTTTTTTCAGAAAATTTAGTCGCTAACAAAGCCATAAAACAATTAAAAAGAGTTATACGGCTTTTAGTTACCTCAATTTACGTGATCGTTTTTTATCTGTTCTGTCTGAAATTAGAAGGATAAACTGATTCTGATTTGATTAAGTTAACTATTTCATTTTATTATATTAGAATTCTAATTATACATTTATATGAAAAGCAAAATAATAAAATAAATAAAATAATGTTATTTGATGAGATAAGTAAACATATATACATAAAATTTACAAATGTACTAAAATATACACACATTTATAATAAATGTGAGCTTATTTCAATATATTTTGTAGTGATGTGCCGGGTACCCGGTTCGGACCCGGGGACCCGGCAATTCGGCTGTTTTACCGGGTACACGGTATCGGCGATTTTGTTGCAGTACCCGGCACCGGGTATCTTCAAATTGATTTTTCTTTAAATTTAAACTTTAACCATTAAACTTCTTGATATAAATCTAAGAATGTTAGGTAGTCGATAACCACAAAGTTCTATTAACTTAAAACAATTTCACTTAAAATAATTTTTAATACGTTTTTGCAAAAAAATTTATACGGATACAAAAACTGAAACGCTAAATGAAATAATTCTAGAATACGAATAAAAAAACTGAGAAAAAAAGTTTTAGAGTAGCTTCTTTTTATTCTGTTAGAACACAAGATAATTTTTAGCAATTAAGTTTTGAATGAAACGCTTATAATGCTTTCGAACGCTGATACCACTTTTCATTCGTATCAAGCAAAAATCATAAAAGTAGAGATATTAGGTAAATATTATACACATTTTCATATTTTAATTTCGATAAAAATTATAACAAAATATTATTTAGGCCCGCTCCACCAGGTAAAAAAAATAGTTTTATACTAAATATAGTTTTATACTAAATATAGTTTTTTTTTTTTTTTTTTTTTTTTTTTTTTTCTCCATGCAACGATTTCTTCGTGAACAGACGTGTTTTTACAGCAAAAGAATTTTCTTTAAAAAATAAAAATAATAATAATAAAAGTATATTAATTTTAGTTTTTAGTATTTAATTATCTTTATAACCAGAATTATTCTTCAAATTTATCTAACTATCTTCAAAAATTTTGCAACACAAAATTAAAAATGGCGAAATTTACTGTTTCACAAATCAAGGAGCTGTTAGAGTTGCATGAAAGTACACTGTTGAAAATATTTAATGATAAGTTTGAAAAAATAGAAAACAAGCTCATTAGTATGCAAGTAGAAAATACAACTTTAAAAAATGAAATCAGCGAATTAAAGAAGTCTGCTGAGTTCATAAATGAAAAATACGAAAAAATTTTAAACGAAGTGATTGATTCTAAAAAGAAAGCATCAACATCGAATTTAAACAAAACTAGCATAGAACTTGAACACAGCGATAATATAATTAAAGACAAACTAGCAGAATTGGAGGACCGCAGTCGGCGAAACAACTTAAGATTCAATGGGATCCAAGAAAGTGAAAATGAAACTTGGGAAGAAAGTGAAAAAAAAAATACATGAACTATTAAATTCAAGACTTGGTATTAATAACAATATAATAATTGAAAGAGCGCATAGAACTGGAAAACTTGATTATGGTGGAAAAATGAAAAACAGAACTATAGTTGTCAAATTCTTAAACTATAAAGATAAACAAACGATAATGGAAAATTACTCGAAGTTAAAACACTGGACAGAACGCCTATACATTAATGAAAATTACTGCGAAAGAACAACGGAATTAAGAAAAAAATTGTTTATTGAAGCGAAAGAACTTAGAACAAAAGGTAAATATGCAAAAGTGGTTTATAATAAACTTGCTACGCGCGATGCTTAAAAATAGGAATTCCTTTGTTTTCGGTAGGCACAAAAAGTATACTAAACTATTAAAATGGATTCAGTTTTACTAGATAATTTTAAATTAACCTTTAATTTTCTTCAAACAAATAAATATCTTATTGATGAGAGATATGATCCAGATCTAAATTATTTTAGCGAAGCAGGTGCTTTACAAAATAATTGTTGTTATTTTTACGCACATGAAATAAAGGACTTCCTAGAGCGTGACCATTTGAATGCCTTG